GGGATGTTTATTTTTTTGACTGATGAGTTCCACGTCCCGCCTCCCCATCATCCCCCCTTCCCTCCACTCAAATGGGAACCATTAATTAGCCGTTAATTAACAAGAAGTTAGAGGCGACAATGAGATAAAGGCAACTCCACCCCACCTGAAATGCAGAAATGAAAAGTATGGCAAGAAATGCTTAGATGAATTGGAAGTAATGATGAGGTGAAAGCACCAAGGCAATAAAGGCAACAAAAATGAGACATGGAAATGAAGATTTTGGCTGGGCAGAGGTGCTGGGGGTGGGGAGAACCACGGGGGAGGTTCTGGAGAAGGTGGGGGGGCTGGGGGTTGCCCTGCTGCCCCCTCCCCAGCCCCCCAGGGCTACCCCGGTGCTGCCACGTGTGTTGTGTGGATGGGGAAGGAGAAGTGGGTGTGGGATGGTTTGGTCCCACGTTCCTGGAGATGAGGAGGGTGCTGGAGGATCCCCCGCTGGTGCTCAGGGCCTTTGTGGGTTTCTCCACCTCCTTTTCCCTGGGGAGGACCAAGGAGGATCCGTGGGTTGAGGAGAAGTGGTGGCATCTGCATGGATCGAGTTGGCCGTGGGGAGTTGTCTGGTGGAGAGTTGGTGGTGGAGAGTTGGCCGTGGGGAGTGGTCCTAGGCCTGGGGCTGGATGGGTGCTCCACTCTGGGGTCCTGCTCCCTGTCCCCCCCGCCACCACAGGGTCAGGTACAGGGAGGGGACACGGAGACACAGACCAGAGCAGGTGTTGGGATTTGGGATCTCTTGTTGCTGATCCACCTCTGATCCATCCCTGATCCATTCCTGATCCACCTCTGATCGACCCCTGATCCACCTCTGATCCAACCCCTGATCCATGCCCTGATCCACCTCCTGATCCATCCGTGATCCACCTCCTGATCCACCTCTGATCCACCTCCTGATTGCCCCCTGATCCACCTCCTGATCCATCTCTGATCCACCTCCTGATCCATTCCTGATCCACTTCCTGATCCATCCCTGATCCACCCCAATTCACCTCCTGATCCATCCCTGATCCACCTCCTGATCCATCCGTGATCCACCTCCTGATCCACCTCTGATCCACCTCCTGATTGCCCCCTGATCCACCTCCTGATCCATCTCTGATCCACCTCCTGATCCATTCCTGATCCACTTCCTGATCCATCCCTGATCCACCCCAATTCACCTCCTGATCCATCCCTGATCCACCTCCTGATCCATCCGTGATCCACCTCCTGATCCACCTCTGATCCACCTCCTGATTGCCCCCTGATCCACCTCCTGATCCATCTCTGATCCACCTCCTGATCCATTCCTGATCCACTTCCTGATCCATCCCTGATCCACCCCAATTCACCTCCTGATCCATCCCTGATCCACCCCGATTCAGCTCCTGATCCATCCCTGATCCACTTCCTGATCCATCCCCTGATTCACTCCCTGATCCATCCCTGATCCACTTCCTGATTCATCCCTACTCCACCTCCTGATCCGCCTCTGATCCAAACCCTGATCCATGCCCTGATCCACCTCCTGATCCATCCCTGATCTGCCCCCTGATCCACCTCCTGATCTACCTCCTGCTCCATCCCTGATCCATCCCTGAACCACTCCAGAGGCAGCTGGACACGGGCTCTGCCACCCGCCCCCCCCCCAGAACAGAGTCTTACCCCCCCACA